TAGTAATGAGTGAGGGAAAAAAGCGACTTCACCACAAAAATGAGGATTAGCAAGCGAGTAATAAATTGTCAAATAGATAAGGTGTCAGATTTGAATCAATGCCAACCAAAAAAATTGAATGAAAATTCGAAATTATTTTGACTAGAATCGAAAACTCTCCGACCGCTAACGCTGGCATTTTCGATTATCTCTTTGACCTTTTCTTTCGACAAAGAACCCTCTCCTTGTATCTCTCCGATAGCATTTTCCTTGGTCTCTTTCTGTCGCTTATCGGTTTCATCGGCCTGGCTATTTATTATTTCTCTCACTCTCGCTTTTGTAATTTCTTCACTTTCTTCCTTTTCTATCGCTTTAATAACCTGTTCACTCAGGGTTTTTTCACGGCTGAAAAGGGCGTTTTTTGTATTAACACCAATATTGAAATTAACCACAGCCGTGATTACGGCTAATAAGGAACAGAAAAAAAAGAGAAGGGGATTATTTTTGACAATTCTCCTCAATACCAAAAAGAGTAATTTTATTTTGCTTTGCTTTTTTGTTTTGAGAACCGATTTAGTAAATACAGTAGCAGGAGGCATGCGAATAAGTATGTATATTAATAATATTTTGCAGAAGCAGAGAACCGAAGTGGCAGGGGTTAACAAGGATTAGTAAAGACGGTTAATTACTCCTAATTGTTAAGCAAGCAAAAAGTGCAATTTTCTTTCTTTAGCCAATTTTTGGAGTTCCTGGAAACTTTTCAATTTTAATTGACGAGCCGTATTTTCCGATTTTTCAATAATCCTACTTATTTCGATAAACTTATGATTTTTAGTGAATAACGACAAATATTTTTTTGCTACTGGCAAATTATGGATTTTTGGACTTTCTAAGGAGTATTTTTGCAGCGTTTCTAAATTAAATTTATCTCGTAATTTCAAATTTTCTCGCAATTCTTTTTTTTCCTCCTCTTTGGCCATTCAATAAATATCCACCAAATTAGAGGGCTTAACCTTATAGAGAAGACGATTTAAAAGAATCGCTTCTCGTTTGCCCAAGGCGTTAATTAAATCGTTAGCCTGAATTGACACGTCTCGGCGTCGTATTTCCTCACCCGCCAATTCGGCATTTTCCTCATCGTGCAAGGTTTCTGAAAAGGAATAAGACTTGCTTTCTCGGTCATCGTTTTGATAACCGCTGTCATAATAAATTACATTTTTTCTGCCTTTAGTTCCTACCCCTTGATTAATAAAATGTTGCTTGTTGACACAACTTTGAATATATTGCCTAACTCAACAGCCGGCATAAGTGGCAAAGCGAAATTCGCTGTTGAGATCGAACTTTTCCATGGCTTTGAAGAGAGAGAAATTTCCTACCGATTTCAATTCCTCGGAATCCACTCAGCCCTTTGATGAAAAATAACCCCTTGCTATGTATCTGACTAAATTTTTATTATGTTCGAGGAGAAAACGAATAGCGTTTATGCCTTCTTGGAATTTTTCCTGGTCCATTTCGGCTAATTGTTGGTTTTTTTTTTTT